ATATGACTGTTTTTGTCATGATCAATTGAGTCAAAATGGAACTCATAAGTTGTGTCAGAAAGTTGGGGAGAAAGAACATACAAGACTGAAGGCCCAAACAACATGTTCTAACACCCTTTATTTTGTTCATATTTGTCCTGGCAAAATGATGCAATATTTAACATTTAAAAGATAAAATATATTATTTTATTTGGTTTTTGCAGGCCTATTTTTGAATTATTTATTTTAAGAAGAAATTTGTTGCTGATTATCTCAAGTGTAGGTATTCTCAGTGATACTTTTTATTTTGCTTTCAGATTCAGATTTAAGAGATCTATACGTATGCCATACTGGAAAGGGGAAATGTAGATTGATTTTATGTTGAAAGAATACTGGGTATTCACTTTGTTTTAGGGTTTGTTTTGTAAAAGAAATTATGTATCATATAGTTTACTTTGCATATTCTCTGTGTTTAAATTAGTGCATTTCGCTATCCACAAAATAAGTGAAAATAAAAAAGTGAGTTTTATACAGTATTGACTTTCAAATCAACATATACAATACCCCAGACCATTCGTCCCGGTGTTATCGCTATCGCCACACGAGACTCCAGCTTCGTCTCCTATACAATTTGACTGCGCACATCCAGAAAGTAGATGTAGCTGTGATTGGTGGAATACTAATGAGTTGAGTGTCAATCAAACGCCCACGCTATCTTTAGTAATCAAAGTCACGTGACACGCGCCATTTTAGTTTTGATTAGTTCATCGGATCGGAGTGTCGGTGCTCGCCATCCATAAATCAAATCAAAATGATTTCTAAGGAAATTGTCGCTAAGTACATTTGAACTGCGGTCATCATTGCAAATTGAATGTGAGAAAGTTATGGAACGTCGTTTTGAACTTGAACGTGGTCGGGCAGGCGATTTCAAGGCAGCACGCTTAACCCTTTCGTTCACAGGTTGGGAGATATTAGAATGACTGACAATTTCACGCCACTGTTTTACATTATTGGCGGATTTTTCTGCGCTATCAATCTTTCTCTTACAAACTAGACATAGATGAGACGACAGAGTCGCTCCTTTCACAACGTCGCACTGGATCAAATTGGAAAGACGATTTCCATAAGTTATCCCTCCTGCTTTTCCTGGCTTGAATAAATTCACACACGACTTTAACTGTCCACAAACTCGAAGACTACACGAACACAGTCTACAATAGTCGTCCGCAACAATATGTATGTATTTCTTCGTGTACTGATGCACGAATGCACCGTGACA